AACGTTGCTGGAAGCCCAAGCAAAACTGGACCGACCCGAAAACAAAGACGTGCTGGCCCTCGCCGTGAGATATGCGCCAAGCAGCCACGTGGAGACGCTCCTAAAGCACCGGGCCGACCGGGGCGGCTCCGCGGATCCCTGGCGGCCCCTGGACATAGCATGCCACGACCACCCCGAAAACCTGCTACAGGGCCGTCCACATCCAGGCAAGATCACGATGCTGCTGGCAGCCCGGGCCGATCCCACGCGAATGCTCGAGGACCCGACCAGCTGGGCCCAAAACCCAAGCCACCCAGACTGGTCCTACGGAGCCAACCCTCGAAGCCTAGCAACCCTCGTGGCCCTAGCCTGCGCAGAAGCAGCTCACTCAGACCCGGAGTGCATGCAGCAAGTCGCGCGAGCGGCAGCGAACAAAAGTGCCATCCCCTTAGAATATGTAAGCGACAGCACCCCCGGAATGCAGGTCCTCACCGCAAGCCTGTGCAGTGCAGCTTGCACAGGCAACGCCCGCAACGTGTGCTGGCTACTAGAAATGCGATGCCCAGCAAATGCACGCGTCGGCCGACACCTCCTGGAAGGTGAGTCCTGTCTCGTAACCAATGCCGAGAGTCAGTGCACAGCCTTAAACCTCGCAGTCAGAAGCGGCTCCGTCGCCGCCACCCAAGCACTCCTCCACGCCAAGGCCGATCCGAATCTCACCTTCGACGAGCTTGCCGCCCTGGACCGAGCTGCGCTGCACAAGGCACCAGCAACGATAATAGAATGCATACTAGCGGCCAGAGGCGATGCGACCACGCCCACAGCGCACACGACATCTCCGCTGACCGGGGCGCATACCCGAGCGGCGAACCCGACAAGGCTCCTCAGCCCGGGGCCGCCTGCGGACTCGCAACCAAGCAATGCGCAAGACGTCAGACGGGCCACTGCTCACGTTGGTCCTTTCCCATGACATGTGAGACATGCTGACAGCACAGAGCTGGGAAAGAGTCGTTCGTTTCACACAACCTCTGCCGTGCGCCGGCTGCGAAAGAGCATCGCGACTGGCAGCTAAAGCAGCAGAAGGAAAAAGAGGATTCGGCTGCAAGCAGCAAGCCAACGACGCTGACATCGTGCGTGCAGCAAGAGCACACCAACCTTAACCCGGCACCGCAGCCCAATTCGTGATCGAGCCTCCAAAGCAGAAATCCGCTTCCTGAAGAACCATCTAGGCCGAAGCTGCTTCCGACAGTAAGAGAGAAAGAGCAGTCACGGTTCGCCCCCCCCCCCCGCCCCTGCAGGTGAAGCCATCATGCAGCCCGAAAGCAGCCGACGGTGGGCCGACATGACAGACGACGACGATCAGGCGGGATCGCATGCGACACGCGCAGACGGCCCGACCCCGCCCGAAACCTCAACGGCCTCAGCGCACCGAACCACGAGGCGACCGGCTGGGACTTCGAAGCGTTCAAGAAGGACTACCTGGCGAGGAGATGCAGCCTGACACTTCTGACGCCCGTGCATGCCCCAGAGCCTCCGAAGAGAGAACCCGTGTATACACGCATGTATGTCGCGCAACTGCGCACCGAACCCACCGGCCGAGGGCGGAACAATCAAGATCGACGAGGCGCGCTGACACCTCGTGCCGTCGCCCTCAGAAATCCCAGGAAAGCACACGGGCATGCACGCACGAGGCCTGGAAAACCTCCCCGACAACCGCACCTCGACGGGACACGACCCCGCCCTCCGGCGCGAAGCCAAGAACACCCCGACGGAAGAAGGCATCACGGCCGGAATGCAAGTAAGGACTTGTGCCACGAGAAAAGCCATAGAAAAAAGAAAGCAAGCCGTACGCGGCATCGTGACCTGCAGGCCCCCAAAAAGCCACTGCCGCGCCAGCCACGATGGACGGCCGACGACGAGAGAGCCCTGGATCGTGCTTTCCAGCGAGCAGAGGCACCGGAGAGAAGCTACACCCCAAAGGCGCACAACACCTCCCCCGGCAAGCGTCTAGTCCCACTGTGTGCACAGGCCGACAGAGCCGCCGAGGCAACACCGCCAAGAAACGAAGCCGTGGAAGCGGCAAAGCTCGCAAGGAATGCCGCTGAACCATCTCACGAAGGACCGGCCGCGCGACGAGGGGGGGCCGAGGCGGGCTCCGACCACGACACGGAGCCCGGACCCAGCGTCGAGGCCGGCGTTTTCCCTCGAGCATCCACTCTCAAGAGCGCTCTTTAGGCAAGCAGACAATGCACCCGAGAGGAGCACTTTCGGGGCACGCTGGCCATCAAGAAGATGTCAGGCGACGGCAACTGCCTCTTCCACGCGCTCGGAGAGAACACCGGCGAGAGCGGGGCATGCCTCCGAGCCCTAATCACCCAGTACCTCAGAGAGAACGCAGAAGCCGAAGAAGACGAAGAGCAAGTGCAGGCCTGGCTACAGGAAAGCCAATACCTCCAAAGCGATCCGGGTCACTGGGGCGGCGACACGGCCATCATCGCTTTCACCCGCATGAGGCAGCAGCGAGTCCTTTGCACTGGCGGACGCCAAACGGCGACATCCTCACGAGCGAGCGCACGCACTCGGACGTGGACGAAGCAGCCCAACGCGGGCCGCACGCAGCACCGAACGCCACGGAAGTGATCCATCTCTGGTACAACGGCAGGGACCACTACGACCTGCTGGTGCCCATAGACCGAGCACCGCCACCAGCACCACCACTGCCACCACCACCACCACCACCACCACCACCCCACCCGATTCCGCGCCCAGCCAAGCGCAGAAGAACCGCCGCCGGCGGAGAGGAGGCCCATCAACAGGCCCAGGCGCGCAAGACGCCGTCGAAGCCGGCGACACGACCGCCCGAGCCAGAGGCACAGGACGAGCCCAACCTCCTGGAAGAGCTCACCAGCATGCCCGTGGCGCCGGACAGCAGCCACCCCCGGCGGAAACTGGAAGAGGCTCTCCGGCACCTCGCACACACCCAGCTGCGAGCCCAGCCGCTGATACCGCCCGGAGCCAGGCCCGAAGACCTCGACCGTGGGGAACCCTGGCCAGGACAGTTCTGCGCCTTCCAGAGCTGCAACTGGTCATTGCTTACGGGCACCGAGCAAGAGCTTCGAGAGCACGTCCAGCAAGAGCACGCAACAGCACTGCAGAGCGTCGCACAGCACCTACCCAAGCCAATCCCGGCCGATGCACTGGCCAGCGTCTACAACGAAGCCATAGCCCTGCGGTGCAGAGAGGCCGCACCCGTGGCAGGAAGCTCGCGGGACAGAAGCGCGCTGCGGAGCTTCGCCGAAGCCACCAGCAAAGACAGGGTGGAAGCGATCATTTGCTTCTGCTGCGCATGCATCCACACACGCGTGGCCGACGCCGAGGCCGCGGGCCCCATCCGCTGGCGCAGGCTCATCCAGGGTCCCCCCAGCAACGACAGGACCCACGCCGAGACAACCGAACGTCTGCACGACATCCTGAGCATCGACAAGTACCTGGGGCTCTACGACGACCTGGCCGGGGACGTCAAGCTCACCGACGTGGCCGAGCTGAACGAGTGGACCGTGACCATCCCCGGGCTCGGCGACATACTCTGCTGCCCAGAAGACCACCGCTGCCACGCCAATCCCCAGCACCCAAGCCAGCACACGCTCTGCGAGCACTGCGAGGTGCCCCTCTGCCGCGACTGCGCGCAACACTTGGACAACGGCCAGCTGCCGCCCCTGAGCTTGTGCAATGACATGTGGACAGGCTACTCCCCGGCGCGCCTGCACGCAGAGAAGGTCACAGTGATGGAAATGATCTGCGCAAGCCCCTGCGTGACGACCCTGGTGTGCATGTCCATGGAAGCGCGGCACCGCAGCGAAGGGACCACCTTAGACGAAAAAGCCCAGAACGCCCGTCACCGCCTGGGCGCGCGCGGCAACGCCCTCACCTTTCCCCTCCCATGGGAAGACCTCCTGCGCAACCTAGAGGCACACCACGCAGAAGTTGCGGAGCAGGACCAAGCGGGAGCGGCAGCACCCCCCAGCCTGCCGCGCACAGGCAAGGCGCTCGACGAGGTCGCGAGGGTGCTCCTCAAGACGAACAAAACGGGCAAGACGAGCGAGACCGAGATCAAGACGCTGCTCCACCAGGCCACCGTGCGGAGAGACGTAGTCGTGAACCTCATCCACGACATGCAGCGCCTCGGGCATCCCGCGTTCCAGCACCTGCGCATGGCGGATGTGCGGGAGGCAGCATCACAGCTGCCAGAGGGCGGCGTGCCGCCGGAAGTACTCAAGATCATTTCCGGCCTGAGCGAGGACGACGAGACCGCCCACAAGCTGCAGCCGCAGAAGGCCGCCGCCCCGACGGACGCGCCGGAGCAGGACATGCAGCGGGCCGGCGCCATCTTCGCCGACCAGCGAGCCCGGGCCGTCGTGCCGGAAGGCTGCAGCACGGACCGCGAGGACCAGAACGCCGTGGCCACGGCCGCACTCAACGACCTCCAAACCCAGCTCCGCAGCAACGAAGAGAACGAGAAGGTCCTCGAGACCATGGAGGTGCGCACCGGCAACATCTTGGTGGACCAGTTCCAGCCGCTCTACTTCGCCACGGCCTTCAGCTTCTGCTTCGCCCACGGCACCGCCTGTCCGGACGTCCAGAACAGCAACAGCACAGCAAGCAACCGGGCGTCAGAGCAAGGACGCCGCCGAGACAAGAACCCGGAGGCCCCCCAAGTGCAGATCTTCGAATGGGCAACAGCCATGCAGCGCCGGGCAGAAACCCAATTCAGGCGAGACTGGAGCTTCGGCTTCACCCTCTGGAACTACCTCTTCAGGACCATGGTGAACACCCAGGGGAACGCCTTCATCTACAGCGTCGCCGACGAGAACCACGAGAGCAGGGCCCTGACCACCAAGGAGATCCTGGAGGGGCAAAAGCAGATCCAGCAAAAGCTCCTCAGAGGCCAGTACCTCGACATCAACAACCAGCTGAAGCCCATCAACGGAGACCTCACCAAACTACGCTTCGTCCCAGGGCTCTCAGAAGCAGCCCTGAAGGCTCGAAGCTCGTGCAAAGAAAATCCTATAAAGCACGGACCCACCCGCAGTGCAAGCCTCCCATCCTTCGCCGCCTGAAACCCCGTAGAGAGCAAGCAAGTGCCGTGACGCGCGCCGTAGAAGGCCACACTCGGAGCAGGCAAGCTACCAAGAGACAGGTTACAACGAGTGCCCAAAGCAAGCCCGACAGCGGTGCCAGGTCCTGGACAACACGGAGGCGCGCAGTCGAAACATCCCGGGCACGCACGAGGTGCGCAAGACCATGCGCCTCCAAACCCACGCCAATCGGATATGCCACGGCACACCGATCTTCGTGACCTTCTCCCCCTCAGAGCGCGACAGCACGGTGATGCTGCGCCTGGCCCGCGCCCGGCAGTCCGACCCCAGCCTCGGCCCAGAGGACACCACCACCCGAAGAGCCCAGGGGCGCAGCAAGCCGGAGCTGGACGTGGAGTTCTACAGCCTCAACCCAGAAGCCCTCGCCGCCGAGCTGCCGCCCTACGACGCTCGCCGGGCCATGCTCACCAAGGATCCCGTGGCCTGCGCCGACGGCTTCCGCACCCTCGTGCAGCTCGCGCTGCGCCACCTCTTCGGCGTCCGCTACTGCCCCCAGTGCCCGAATTGCAGCAAGTCCAAAACACCCTGCGCGGACGCCTTCGGCAGCAACGCCATGGCCTGCGGCGGGATCTTCGGCCGCATCGACGCCGCGTTCGGGTCCATCGAAAGCCAGAAGTCCGGGGTGCTGCACGTCCACTTCCAGGCACGCCGGCACAGTCATGAGAGACAACCAAAGAAAGGCCATGCGACACCGAAGCCACCGCCGCCCCCTGTGCAGCTCTTCCTCCAGTGCTTCCACCAGTTCAAGTCCCTCGCGGAGCTGCAGGCCCTGGGTCCCGCACGCAAGCAAGAACTCTTCCAGAAGTACTGCACCTACACGGCCCACGTCAGCCGCACCATCTACCGGGACCCGCAAACCTGGGAGAAGAAGCGCCCGGAAACGGAGGAGCAGTGGCCCGCCTACCGCGACTCCTACCTGGCCCTGAGCCGCCCGCACTACCAGAGCACAGACGCGTCCACGGACGCCACGACCTGGCGACGGCTCTATCTCGACGAGGACGTGGAGGCCCTGCAGCAGCTGAAGCAACATCACGTGCACCTCCCAAGACGACGAACGGTCCGCGGCTGCCGCTCGACCACTGCCGCGACAAGAAAGACCCCACGAAGTGCAAGGCAGGCTTCCCTCGCGAGAAGCAGCTGGTGGACAGCACGACACTCGTGTGCGAGGGACTCGCAGAAAAGATGGGCATGCCGGTCAAGGGCAAGCGCAGCGCCCTCGGCCGTCTCTGGGGGCCTTGCAACGACCCGAACCTCAACGGCAACCACCCCGCGCTGCTGGCCGCCCTGCGCTGCAACGGCGACGTCCAGCTGCCCTACCGCTTCCCGATCACCGAGGACCTGCACGACGCCGCCGGCCGCTGCACGCGAGACTGCCCGGCGAAGAGCAGCCTGCGGGAGATGACCTACCAGGCCCAGCTGAACCAAGCGGCGCAGGCGGGCTATGCATGCGACTACCAGAACAAGCGGAACCCCATCGCGGTCAACGAGGTCCAAGAGTGGAACAAGAGCCACAAGGACCTGGAGACAGAACTGCGGGACAACTCCTCCGCCGGCTACGTGGGAGCCAGGGCCTCGAAGCGCCTCATGACGGACGCCTTCGCCCGGGGCGTGGTCCGAGGCTCCGTGGAGTGCACCAACCTCATCGACAACGCCGGCCACAGCGACCCCACCGCCGCGGAAGCCATCAAGACCGCAGCACTCGCGGATATGTCCCTCCAGATGGGCCTCGAACTCATGCAAGCCGCCACCGAGGGCCGGCCGCTGCCGACAGACCGCGCAAAGATCCAGAGCGACCTCAGTGGGTGGGTCGACAGACCCGGCAACAAAAGCAAAAGGAAGCTCGTCGCCCAGCCACAGCTGTGGACCGTCTACGGCAACCGCGGCACGGACCCCAGAGTGCAGCCCCTCTCGGCCTTCGAGTTCGCGCGGTACTACCACATCCAGCCAGTCAGGTATCCATGGTCCCTAAAGCAGCAGGAGGAGGCCGCCGCCGCTGATCGCGAAGCAGCCGCCGACAACGACATCGCCTACCACGCCCTGCTGACGGACAAAGGCAAGGAGAAGCTCGGCAAGAAACTCGGACGTCGACTTCTGCAGGGCGGCACAGACTACCTGATCCGAGAACAAGGCGGGGAAAAATGGATGCCGCTGGGCAACGGCAACCGCGTGCGGAAGCATCGCCACGACTGGGTCATCGTCCCACGCAAGCGGCCGCACGTGCCGGTCCTCTACGGTGCGCTCGGCAGCCGCAGCGAGGAGGAGCACATCATGAAGATCCTGCTGCTCTTCTGTCCCTGGACCAGCAACCCACACGAGGCCACCGAAGCCGTCCCGTACGTCGGCCACCTCCGCACGACGGACATGAGCAGCTGGCGCCAGGCGCTGCAATGCGCGTGGAAGCACGCCGGGGGCTTCCCCACCGAGGAGCTGAAGCGCTACGTCCTGAACTACGCCTTCGTGTTCAGCCTGCCCCGAGACCTACAG